TGAGAGCAGTGTTCCAATATCTCCGGTTGCCACAAAGAAGAGGGAGTCAAACTATTCTCAAGGTACCTGAGGGTAGAACAAGAAGTAATGGGTGGAAACTAATCGAGAAGCAACTTAGAACTGAGGAGAAATTTCCTGACAGTTAGAACAATTAATCAGTGGAACAGCTTGCCTCCAGAAGTTTTGAATGCCCCAACACTGGAAGTCTTTAAGATGTTGGATAGCCATTTGTCTGAAACAGTATAGGCAGGGGGTTGGACTAGAAGACTTCCAAGGTCCCTTCCAACTTTGCTATTGTATTGTATTGTATTGTATTGTATTATTGTTAGTGCTAGCCCTATTTATATTACCCAAGCACCTCATCTTAAAGGCAATTGATATCATTAGAATCCAGGTGGAATGTATGAGTTTGAAAGTTCTAAAAGATGCTTTGCGTTTATGGCTCACCTAAAAAAGGGGCAAGGCTTTCATTGCTGGGTTGTGGGGAAGCATTTTTTTTGCTCTTCTTATGCACACCCAACCCTGATGTCTCCTGAAAGCCTTCCATAGGTAAGAAGGAATGCTGAGAAGAGCTGAGAAATCCCAGGCATCACCTAACCACGGGGTGGTTATCCAAAGATGAAGCTCTAATGAGCAAACAGTGAGGATCATACAAAGAAACATTATTTTAGCTAATCTTAGTCTAAGCCACATTGGGTTTTAAACTTGACAGTCAGCATTTATATCCTGCCCAGGAAGCTATGAGCAGCTAATGACAATATTAGAGAGCAGGGGTAATATAATCACTGGAGCTGTTCTAGAGACGAGTCTGTCATATTCTGAACTAACTATATAACTTCCAACTATTTACAAAGGCAGCCCTAAATAGAGTACATTGTAGTAGTCCAGTCTGCAGGTCATTTTTAGATCGTTTTATTCAGGGAATGGGAATACTTACTGTATTAGTCACAGCGGGCAAACATTCTCAATTTGTATTACTATACTTGTTCGTTCCACAGGAATTTAATTTAACCCACAGAAGAATTTCTCTCTGTTTCCAAATCAAAGTTCCTCATAATGAATACCTCTAACTTTCTTGGATTCAGCTCTCATTTATTATTCATATATAACGGAATAACAGAGTTGGAAGGGACCATGGAGGTCTTCTAGTCCAACCCCCTGCTCAAGCAGAAAACCCCATACCATTTCAGACAAATAGTCCAATCTCTTCTTTAAAATTTCAGTATTAGAGCACCCACAACTTCTGGAGGCAAGTCATTCCACTGATTAATTATTCCCACTCTCAGGAAATTACCCCTTAGTTCTAGGTTGCCTCTCTCCTTGATTAGTTTCCATCCATTGTTTCTTGTCCTGCCTTCAGATGCTTTGCAGAATAGGTTAACTCCCTCTTCTTTGCGGCAATCCCTTAGATATTGGAGCACTACTATGCTATATATCATATCATACACACACATCTGAATATTTATAAAATTCACTAAAAATCATTGATGAACCCACTTGGTGTTTCATGTAGATGTTTAAAAAGTATTGGTACCAGAATTAAACCCCGATAGACTCTTTATAAAAGTTCCTGTTTTGAGGGGCAACTGCCATCAAACACAACCATCTGAAATCTACCTGAGAGAATGTGCAGTAACCCAACCCACATCCCTTAGGCAACCCAAAGGAATAACATGGCTGATAATATCAAAAATGCTGAAGGATCTAAAGAAATTCACAATATTCCTATATCAGGCCAATCAAAGCAATCACAATCTTATAGCCTTAAAGCCAATTTGAAATGGGTCCTGCTTCTTCCAAGTTTACATAAAGCTGATTAGCCACTACATTTTCTCTCTTGTTTTTTTCCAACCAGGGGAAGTTGGAGCATTTGTCACATCAGCAAGGGATCAAAGATGGGCCTCGTGAGCAGAGTTCTAACCATTGACTTATATAAACAAAGAAATATCCTGTTCTCTCCCACATCCTGGCCCCACAGAAAACTCCCCTATCCTATCCACTTCTCTATCTCAGGTTTGCCCCACAGAAGCCCCACCTGTCTTATCCCCTTCTCTCCCTCAGGCTCCCTTCCAAACTCCCAACCAGCAGGCCAGATGAGTCACACACTGGCCATGCCCACGTCCAAGTTTTCAGATAGGGAGGGGCAGTAGAATGTTTAACTCCTTAGCATGAGAGCGTGTAAATAATATTATACAAAATACTAATGCTTTGATGGTTGTTTCAAAAAATAATTTTATTACCAAGCACCTAGAAGCCAAGAAGAACATATGTGCCAAATTTCAAGTTTGTAGGCTTTATGGTTCTGGAGATTTCATGATTCCTATATGAGTGTTTTTGCATTTATATAGAGAGATTTCAAATTTCTAGACTGAATAATTCCAATGATTCTGGTTTAACATGAATAAAAACTATGAAAAATTGAAATAAGATCCCAAAAGACAGCATCTTCTGAAGAAAACAACTCTTTTTCTTCCCTCACAGAGATAACAATGACAACAACATCTTCATCAACCTAAGTCATGACCTATGGAAAAATGTTATTGTGATGAAGCACGCACAAAAAGAGCAAAGCTTACAGGATAGGATGGTGTGAATATG